GGAACGCATTACGCCCGGGCGCTGACGTGTTTATTATTTATATACGCACGCCGGAATGCCAAAATACTGCATCGGGACACGTGCACTACTGCAGCAACAGCAGCAGGCGGACGATGATGTTGAATCCCCTGGCCAAAACTTGCCGTCATTATTATACTGCTTGTCGTTTGTAATAATTGTTATCATTTTTTTTTCTTATTTTCGGTAAGTGTCGTAACATACGCGCCGTGGAAATTTACGAATATAATATGTTCATGTATTTTGTGATTAGATATAGGTATAGGATACGGYCGATTTGTATGCAAAAATATTGTAAAATATGCAATGAATAAATATCGCACATACATATATAATGATATGAATATTATATTTTCACATAAGAATAATACTAGAAGAAAATTATATATATTTTGAGTCTTTAAAATACATGTAAGTGCACAAATATTGTGAGGTGGCAATATACTAACATACTTATTGTGTTAATTATTTCAATTGATTTATAAGCATAAAATTAAATTAAAATTAAATTATATGAAATAATTATGGTTATAAATATTGAAGGAAATATTCAGAAAATGTTTTTTTCATCCCGCTAATTTTTAGACCACCGTAGGCTAAAAATAGCTCCATGTCGGAATTAAATMAGAATTTTAATCAAACATAGTGAAAATATTAACTTTATTTTGTTAATATAATTAATACTTTCGACTTTACCTGGGTTAAAGTTAATAATCAATCTTCCTACCATTTTAGTTTTGCTTCAGTTGATAGGGATCATATCTATAAATGGCCAAAATGTACAATCTTATTATTTCTATAACTAATTTTATGATTTTTCACTTCTTAATATTCTGAACATATTTTTGAATAAAAATAAGYTTTTATCACTCGAAGATATTTAAAGATTCTCTCTATATAACTTTTTTCGGAGAATAATTTTATTAGCCTTATATGTATATATTTTATTTAAATTTAGAATTAGACTAGATTGTAGTTTAGGTAAATTTTCTGGACCGAATCCCATTTTTTTCTAGTTGTGTGTGCTTGTGTTTTGATTATGTTTAATTGTAAAGGTCTTTAATTTGCAGTTAACGATAAAGGTCTGAAACTTCCACTTTTCTTATGTCTTATATAATTCTAACAAGAATATAAACAAAATCCGTTCTCCGATTTCCTGCGTTGCTGAAGAAATATATAGATAAAAATGGCTATTTTTTTAGTGATTAAAAAGTCAATACAGTTTTTATTTTTTTTGACAGAAGATCATTTGATTTGACATAACATTATATAGGTGTAAATAAAACATTARCATTTGAATTCATTTAAAAGTATAAACAGAATAAATGCGTTATACAAATTACAAATGACAAAAAGTCTAGATAAATTTAGTTAAAAAATTCAATATAAAAGTTTTATATTTAAATAATGTTTTGTAACCTGACCAAACGAACTATGGTGTTTGAAAACCAACGTTCACTGCAATCAATTTGCATCTAAATTCACTCCCTAGTTTTAATATAAGTTGTATGATTMTAAACAAAAAGTGCAAACTATGAAGACGGTGTTGCACTTCGCGAAATAAATCGCATCGCCCCGCGGGTACACATACCTATACACATATAGTATAGTATACACATATAACATAACTAGTAACATTATAATAATGTACATATACTACATTTTTATGGACGTGCGCGAAGAAGATAATATATACAATAGAAAAACTACTAAAAGAGCAATGTTTAAAAAAAAAAAATACATATTATTATATGATTGCGGTAAGAATTTACCGACCGGTCGTAAAACTCGCGCCTCCCGGGCCTCGCTCTCAACACCCAGAATATCAATTTAGCGACGAAGTSGAGTTTCGCATTTCTCGCGGCGTGTGCGCATAATAATAAATAATAAACAATATTATATCATATTAATATAATATACGCTGAGCGCAAACACACAAATGATTGATACCCATCGTTAAACAACGCTGAAAGAAAAAAAAACAACGGGCGCGTGTTCGCCGTATTATAAAAAACTATGTTGCTCTCCTATTATACCGTAGTGCGTGTGCCTATATAGTATGCACCTAACAGGATTTTTAAAACATATTTTTCTTCCAAAAGTAATTCATCAACCGCGATTTAATGGCTCCGACCGGTTGCGCAATCGCGGTCGAAAAACCCGGAGAGGAGTTATCACGATCGCGCGCGCGTTCAATTTTACGGTACATTATATCCATTCGGTCCATATTAGTGGTTGCGTGAGGTTAGAAACTGGCTTCCGGTCATTCGGACCCCGTCCGGTTAAACAAACATTTTCCAATAATATTATCTGTAACGGCGTAAATACGCGAAGGTTGGTGTGCCCATCAATCAACATTAATATGTACATTTTATAATATTAGGCATATATATATATATGGTAAATATAATGCAAGCGCGCGTAAATAATATACATTATTTGTATATGCTGCAGCACTGTGTTTCATATTGGTAGGTACCAATAATATATTATGTTAACGACGTATGATGTTGAATATATGGAAAGAACGATTTATAACTAAAAAATGATATCGGCCAATTAGTCGTCAYGGTAATATTTCCAGTGACCATTAAACGAATGTACAAACATAAATGAATAATAATAATATAAATATAAATAACTATAGATTTATTTTCGAAACATCATCGCCGTGTATATACGCTGTTGTACGAAATACATATTATCGCTAACGCGCGTCTCCATAACTGGCGTACTTATATATATATATAATATATATATGTTATTATACATAATGCCTCAGGGCCCAAACGGTAGGTATGTGTAGGTACGATTCGAATAATTTAAAACCACTTACAATCCTGTATAGGTAAACCTTSTATAATAATATACAATATTATTTATGGACTATGTTATTATTATTACTATTAATATCACATAAATACATGTGGACGAAATAATGAAATTTTCAAACGATTTTGCATTATTGATATATATATATATATATATACCTACGTTCAATATCATGTGCACCGTGTTATGAAAAAACTTCGTTATCCATCATATATTTTCCGTAAAGTTAAACACGCCCAAAACATAAAATATATTATATATTTAGAATTATTTTATCACATGAAGTCTGCTATGACAGGGTACGCCAAATGACAATTTATCGTGGGGGTTGATATATTTCATATGCTAAGAATATTCAGAACTAAAATTGAACAACTGAATTATTTATAACGATTGTAATCTAAGCTAAATGAATAGTGATCATGAAACATCCATTAACATAGTTTTATTGTTTTTATAGCTTTAAAGTTTTTAAGCTAATACTATAAAAAAAATGTGTACGACCATTTAAATAAACAAGACTATAAAAGTTGTCGATATTATTTTACACGTATTACACAATGGATTTTTAAATTAGGTGATCATAAATATAATAAASCAAGCCAATTTCGAATCGTCGAAGATTTGAGTATTTGWTTGGATGTAATATTATAATACATAAAATATATGAATGATACTATACTATTAGTTTAGGTGGTTTAAGTATTTATTGCATCATCWTATAATGGCGAAGAAGTGATAACCATGTGACAGGCACACCATTTAGGGTTGATGGTTTTTCTGGTATATCATTTGATAGTTGATACCGTTTTAAATCGGCAAACCAGTGATTGCATGGATACCACTTGTATACCAATATCGTGTTCATTACCAAAGTAATAGCATATTAGCATAATATACTTAACGTATTATGTAAGTCAACATTAATGTCACTGACAGTTTTTTTTGGTGTATCGGTTTCAATGCCTGTCACACAGAATACTCGATATAAGCTATTCGCATTTAAGGTGCAATTCCACTGCTCTCAATGATCATTACTTCCGTGTTCAAGTACGACATTTTTATGGTCCTGGAATCAGGGTTATTAGGTGTATTATATATTYRATACTGGTCACAATGTTTTAGATTATATCCACATTGAATATCATACATTATCATGAACGCTGCGATCGAATTGTATTATTTCAACTTAACGCGGTAATACCTGCAATGGTACCAAATGTATAGGTTATATGCAAACAAAGAAGCAGTGAACTAGCACCTTTACTGAACGTTTTTCAAGTCGTATACGTATTAACATACTACCTGCAGTATCCGGTGGCGCAAATAGTGGTAAGGGGATCGCCCTAAACATCTTCGTCCGATGACATCTGATCGATCCCGCTCAAACATTTTACATTATACACGAACGATACACACTGTGAAATACATTATTTTCTCCGGTGAATTTCTCCTGTGCGGTATGTGCAAGGTTAAAATATATGGGTACCCGAAGTTATATATACACTGATTATATACCTACTTTAATATATATATATATATATTCAGGGGACTGCAATAACCACAACTAATAATTTTGTTTATTCGCGCCACTGAATATTATTTAGCCGCCGTTTAATAATATAATACAATATATAATATTAATAACACACACTATATAATATCGCTACAAACATCGATCAGCAGCTGACTAGAATCGTAAAAAAGTCACTCGGCGGCGGCGATATATCCATATTGTGTATATAATCATAAATGTATGCATGTCAGGACGTCGCGGGTTGTTGCGCCGAGTATACGATAAATGGCGAGTCTAACAAAAACGCTTTTTCCGCCACTTTGTGTTATTATTGGTATACTATATTTTTTTTCCTTCTCCTCCTCCTGCTCATCGTCAACATCGTCATCAGCACAGCAGCCCTACACGATGTTGTCCCCACGGCCGCAGCCGCGGCCGTTACGGGAAAATCGTATTTCTGCAGCACAACGCACACCAGCACAGACAGCACAATGGCCCCAAAAGCCCGAATTCGTCTCGGTGCCAGTCGTTTCGACGGCACTGCCGCCGCTGCAGCGTTCGCCGGGACAGATGTACGCGCGTCCGCCGGGGAACGGCAGTAGTCGCGCGGCGGCGGCGGCATCGTTGACGACGAGGGGAGACCTGCTGCAGCTCGATGGATAACACCCGGCAGCCATTATTACGACTATTATTGGTAATCTCTGTTCAGTGTACATGATAATATATGTGTGTGTGTGTGTAATGCATGTATATATTTTATTAGTGTTTCGTATTATTATTATATACTTACATTATATATATATTTAATTCATTGTATATTGTGTATTGCATGCGTGTGTATATCTATGTATGTTTTATAGGCACCTACTATAAAATGTATTTCCCCGATGTCGGTAATATACGTATTATATATGCATATAATACTGCACAAAGTGCCTTACACTTGGAAAAAGCTTACACTTGAAGAAGTGAATAATATGTGCAATTAAATCGATTTCATATTACGAAAATATATGCGGTTATAATATATTATAATAATGCAAGTTGAAAAAATCAATTAAGTGTGTTTTAAATTATTTTTCAGTTATGTTGTTAAAACATTTTGAAATTTAAAGAAAACTATAGTATTATAAGTATATACCTAAATTAATTTCGCAGAAATAGTATAGTACATATTATTTTTTTTTTTTAAATGCGAAATGCTGAATACGTCTGTAATATTTCGAGAGTAAAAATTTTTATTTGTTCATTTTATTTAAATTTTTAAAAATTATTTTAATTTGGCTCAAAATCTTCTAAAATAATAAAATACGCAATAAAAACCGATACAACATGGATCTATAGCAATAATAGAAAAATTTGAAATCCTGTCATTACGACATCAATTGTTAAATTCTTGTCAATGTATATAGAGGAATCCTACAGGACTCCGTAGTGAGCACCTACGTTGTTGTGCATCGTAGTTTCTCTGACCTGCTTTATTCGACTTACCAATAGATCAAGTGTTTTATAAAATTATTATGATAATTTACCACGATTTATCTCATCAGTCACCACTATTATCAGACTCTATGTGAATGCTGACGTATTCAAATCTTAAAAACCATAGCATGGTAGATAATATTTTTTATATAACGAAAATTCATGAATCATAAACATGTTTTTTTTAAGTAACAATTACAATCAAAATTTTACCAAAAAACGGTCAGAAACAAAAAAAACATATTCATGTTTATGTATTTTTATAGTTTTTACATGCGCTAAAACAAAATGTGATATTCAATAATATTATATACAATAATAATTGTATCCTGAAAAGTAAAATTATGATTTGTATCAATTATCAATGAGAAAATAATATATTGCAAGCGTGATGCGCCTTGGTTTATATATTTTTATGATTTTTAAACTGCTCTTTCGCTCGTCACAATGTCATTGGCATTATATCACTTAATATGAAAATATAATATTATATTAGTTATGACGAGAAGTGGAGCGGTATACATTACAATATAATATAATATAATTTCGAAAAAAAATTACTACAATTTGATTTTGATTTTCTGGTTCGCGCGCCTGGAGGTGTTTGAGATGTTTCGTAGAATTAAATAATTTTATAGCGTTTGAGTATAAAAATATATTCGTTCTATTAAAAAAAAAAGATCGAATTTTATATAATATATTCTATATACATACAAACTTTTGCAGCGTTTGAAAACAAAGAAGATTTGTAGTATTTGAAGTATCATATTCTAAAATAAACAAGTCTTTATACATTTTAAATGTGTTAGTAAATATTGTWTATATATATAACTACCAAGTCGCAGTTTGTAAATTATATTACATTATAAAATACTAACGGTTGTGACATATTTTATGTGACAATTAATATACGCGTATATAAAAAATATATGTACATGAGTTCTTCTTACCTTTATTATATTAAGCATCACAATGTCTTCTCTGAATTGATGACTATTAAAAAAAAAACCGGGATAACTACATTTTGTCGTAAACAAAACGAAAAAAGTTTTGGAATTAATAAAAAAACATAGGCAAGGTTATAAACAAATCAATATTATGTATTTGCCTATTTTCTAAAACAATATGTCGATGCTCGTATGGCGTTACAATATAAAGTGTATAATGTGGTGACATTGTGTATTATATATATACAGGGTGATTCAAAATGTATGTTACAGCCATTTTATCTTATAAATATTCAAAATAGTGAAAAATGTATAATACAAAAGTTTTTTTATTTAAAAACAGCTATTATAATTTCATAATTTGATAAATGTTTACTATATTTTAGGGGGGTTTTGAGAGGTCAACTTTAAAAATTCAAATGGAAGCCTATACTTTTTTTGCAATCATAATGTAAAGGATTTTTTTAAATACATTTTAGTGAATGAACAACATAAATTAATGCAAAACTCTATCATATCAATGTTATAAAAATGTCTATCATTTTAAATACGATATACTATACATTTAAATTATAAACATCAATCTCTACCTCAGTGGATCAAAATCCATTATTAAATTAAGGAATACCCAATACGAGAGATTATTAATATCCTACACTTTAAGTAAAAAAAAAGCTACAACATTAAGCACATAATCTTATCAAAATCGGGGAGTAGTTTAAATTAGTCTTTGGTATATTTTTGTTATATCATATCTGGCTTAAATTGAAATATAAAAACATAATATTCATTATAAAAACATCACTAGATACGCAAAAATATATTTGTAAATAACATTCATTTGACAATTGAACGCCTTCCTAGACGGACGATTACGTATTTCATTTATAACTAGTATACTGTTAACAAGATGATGATAAAATCATTAATAGCACTGGGTGCAGTGACGGGGATTGGTTGTTTGTTATGGCTTAGAAGACGGAATTTGTATAAAAAAACGACAGGAGATTTAAAGGTAAACAAATATTATAATTATGCGTTTACGTGTGGTATTTGAATTAGTTTTGTTTGATAAAAGTTATACATTTTACGACAAGTCTTAATCTAATAGTATGCCAATTAACTATTATGGGGAGTTTCTGAAATAATTACAGGTACCTATTAGGAACGCGTTATAGACTCGCTCAATGTATATAGACTGTACAATGTCTATGGTAGAAGAAAAACGATTTTTTGATAACAATGTATATACATATATGCCTATATAGGCAAGTTTTAACTGATGTTTATTAGGTACTTAAAGTCAAACAAATATTTTTCCTGTTAGTAATAGCATTAGAATTTATTTTCGATTCTCTAAATGTTTCGATTCGAAACGCGTAAACCAAATATTTATTAAAAAACCTTCTTCATACATAATTATTGGATAGTGTGATAGATATGATGGTGTTTAGTTATTAAATTACAATTGAATAGTTTTAAATATAATATATGGTGCTCGGTAATCAGAGTCCTTAATAATATTTAGGATAGTTTTTCGGAATAATAAATTAACTTTTTAAAACATAAAAGTTAAATACACGCAATTAGGCTTTATGAAATATTGTTATTTAAAATTTTAGACCGAACAAGATCTGGTACATGGTTTGAGTACTTCAACAGCTGAGGAAAACATAGACGATGATGAGGATGACATTCCAATGACCGATTCCGTAATATGAATATAATTAATTAATATGTATTTTTAATTTTAAAATGTTATTAAGAAATACTTATTAGTTACAAAAACAAAAAAATAATTCTATCTTGTAAATGGTCAAATTTATTGCGTTTATCCGTTAAGAATTAAAATTATGTAATTTTTTCAGGTTATGTTATTTTCAAGCCTTACCGAGTGATGAAATTTTATCACCGGAGGTAAATAAAAAAATATTTTATTTAAGTTTTCCCCCGCCCTTATTTGAGATTTTTCACATTTTACACCTCGTATTTACGGACCTTGTTATTTTATATCACATTTTCTTACTAACTTTCGTTGTAATTATTTGGCATAAGTCACAAATAATTTATAAGTAAAATTTAGAACTAATCTCGTAGATCAATATATGTTTTTACTGTGAACAAATTAAAATTTTACATAAACCCTTTAATTTTAACATAATTTACAGATGATAATTAATAAGGAGAAAGAAAAGCAATTAATAGATCCTTTAGCACTGCTAAATCAACTAACACCAGGAATCGAATATGTACACGACGTTATGAAAAAACCACCTTCAACCATCAGAGTAAAAGCAACAATTCATAGAATACCTTTTGTTGCACGAGGTAATTTACTATGTTGTTTCTACTTCTATTATCAACTGACATTTTTATTAAAAATTGCCCATTACTTTAAATATTTCGTGTAATTTAAACTCAGAAAAAATTGTGTATACAATAATCACTTAATATTGGTATTAATTTTTATTTTACAGCACAAACAATAAAAGCTGCAAAAATCAAAATAAGCATAATGGCACTTTACTATTTTTACGGGTATAATTATTTACGATATTCTTTACATTTCTACCTTTTTCATTAATAAACACTAATAAAATTACATTTTAATTTCAGCTATAACCATATGCTTGGAGTGACAGAAGGATGGAGTTCGCCTGGATCATTGTAGAAGATTAGATGAGTGCAAAAAACAAGAAAAGACAATTTGTTAATTATTATAAATATTTTTTTTTCAGTAGGAACTCGATTCCTAAGYAATCATTCAATACCTTTATTTATACGTACATGAAGTTGGCCCCCCCACTTTCTGCAATTTTTTTCAAACAAATTGTAAACAATTGTAAATTAATTGTAAATAATTGTAAATTCAATCCCCGAATTTGTAAATCGTCTGGGGCCTCGGGAAATAAAAAAACAAGTTGGGGGGGCCAAGTTCACGCAGCCCCCCCCAGGTGGTCCGAT